GGCAATGTTATATCTGAAACAAATTCGAATATTGGCAAACAGAGGGTATCCCTAAGTACATAATATAATCGTCAGGGAAATAATGACCAGATCGCAGTAAGTAGATATATAGCCACGAGATTTAAAAACTTAACGTTTCATTTTCAAACATAATATTTTATTTTTCTGCGTGCTGTACAGCAGTCATATACGMGCATACACCGTAGTCAGACGGGCAAATGTCAAAAACAGACTTGATTGTTTCGCGGTAATAATTACAGTTGTTCTACACGGGCGCACTTTTATTTCATTTTTTAACCTAATCCTAAATAATGTAATAACACGGGTAGGTAGGTTTCCAACGTAGAAGAAACAACAATGGGACCATGCAGACCGTGAATAACTGACTGTCAAAACAATTTAGCGCCCCACAGCTCSATGCAAATATGAACAATACACTTACTTAGGTAAAATAATTTTCGGGGAACAGTCGTGTACTAACTCGTGTTCGGGTTTTTGCGTGGGTACCTGCTGCTGCTGCTGCTATCTTGTACAGAACGATTGATTATTGAACAAACTTAAATATCATATAATTATAATATATAATTATGTTACATCCACTTTTAGTAAAATCAATATTTTTATGAACTGCAAAAACCAGATGGGTAGGTAGTGAATTTTAACGAAATTACTTAATTAAAGATATTATATGGTCGTTAGACATCCACTTCATGAAACACATCTCTTCGTCCATATGTATAGCAGACAATATTTATATGTATATAGTATAGCGGGTATCCCTTGGGCCGTGTAAAAATATGGAAACAATAGGAAAAAATAAATGGCATATGTATGTAAATTTTGAGTATGTGAAAAATATTTTTAACCTCCCCGGGATGGCTTCTCAAGAATCACTATTGTTAATATACCTATTTATAAGACAAATTATTGTAAGTTATTTAAACTATATATTTGCCTACCTATATAGTTTTTTGAAAAAAATATAATAATAATTTAATAAAATCATATAATATTAGTCATACCTAAATATTTATATTTTATTTTTAATTATCGTATTATTTATATTATAATAAGTTCATGTTAAAAAACAATATTTTAATGGTGTATATAGTCTAATGTCAATGCATTTTTGAACAGTGCTATAATTATTATCTTTGGACAAATGTGTGAAAGTCATATCTGATATTTTGAGCGCACAATCAACACAGTCTATAACGTACGAATCGACCGAATTGTATTGCTTGGTACGTGACGTCAGTCGTTCGGAAATGTGTAGAATTTAGTTAAGCATATAAGGTATGTATGTTTTGTACATAGTTACTCATACTATATATAGATAGATACTTGTATGATTATAGGCTTGAGCAGACTTTTTTGGCAGGGTGGGCCAAAACAATTAGATATAGGTAGGTAGAGATACTTTAAAATGTTTCAATTTTTCATTGTATTCAATTGATTATTATCATTGAAAATTGTAATTTGTAATCGTATTATTAAACYTTCACGATGAAAATTTATCAGGTCGGAAATTCGTATAGCAAGTAAAGTGCTGCCATGGCCCACCTGGCCCACCCCGTGCGCACGCTTATGATATATCTAATATATTTTAATGTCGTCATCGATGTGAGCACTGGTATAATAATATGATAACAGCAGTACATCAGATGCGTTTATGTTTGTCATTTTAACGCTTACAGTATAATAAAAAAAAAAAATATACATTATTATATGGCATAATAACGCGGAGTGGGCACGGTGGGTTGGGGTAAAATCGATAATTAAACATTACGAATCGCCCGGCCCGTCGCCGCCAAAGCCGCGTCGAAACGACGAACAAACGTAATACATATATACACTGCAGTATACATATATATATATATATATAAATACACACCACCGCGGGTGCTCAACGGCGATTGGTGCCCCACCATCGGCCACGAGCGTTCGTGAGTGTATATTTATATATATATATATATGTTTATTATGTGTATATATACGAACGAACGCTCTCCCGGATTTTCCCGGGGTCTCGGCCGCCCGCATCATCCGGGATCCCCTTTAACTTCCGTTTTCCGACGATCGACCAGGCCCCGCACGGTATAAGCAGCGGCGGCGCGATCAAACACTCCCTCGGCACTCTTCCCGCCATACTGCACCCCCTCGCCACCCCCCACCACCACCACGTTTAGCCTGCACACCGTCACCAAAAGCTTTACGTTCGTTTGACCGGCGGCGCGTGTATACAGGGCGATTCCGTTGAACACACGAATAAATACACTGCACAGAGCGACTCGTGGAATTC